GTGTATCGCGAGCCTGGCAGCGAACTACCTGACAGCAATTTGACCGGTCGCCCAACTGCGGACTAGATGTGACACAAGGTCAAATTTACTGTGAGGAAATGAGCGTTTCCATCCGGGTCACTGGTCAAAATTTATCCAGCCAGTGCAAAACCGGGCTCAGGTAGAAAACTGCTCTGTACTTCACAGCGGAGTCTATATCTGAAGACAGATCCCCAGTGACTCAACCTCTGCCCGAAGACAGTCCTTGTCAATAAGAAACCAGTAAGCGAACTGTTTTCTGTTTTTCTCAGCAGAGCCCCGAGTTATCATCCGCCGAAGAAGGTGGTCTTGTCATTATCGGCCCGAATACAGAAGTCTTGTCATGTCTTATCGCAAGCCTTCGACAAACTGCTATTTGACTGGTATTTACCGGTGTCACCACTGCGGACGAGATGCGACACAAGATAAAGATTACTGTGTGGAAACCGAGCCACTGGTCAAAATTTACCCGGCACCCGCCAAAATGAGGTCGGGTACAGTATTGATCTGTTTTTTTTTTCTCAGCCGATCTCTATCCAAAGACAGTGCCCCAACTGAGTCATCCTCCGTCCGAAGATGGGGATTTCGTCTCGTCTTGTCGTGAGCCTGAGACTGACTGCGATTTTACTATTACTAATCTGATACCATGGAACTCTGTTTGTATTGGACAAATTCATAGTCATCGAGGTTGTACTCTTTATTCCACAACACTTATACCTGCAATGGAATGGCGGCTTTTATCCGAACTGCGCACATAAATATTGCCATCATTCAGCAAATAGGCATTTATAATGAAATAATTATTTTATATATTGCTAAAACATGAGACGACGAATAATGTGAGACATATATATATATATATATATATATATATATATATATATATATATATATATATATATATAAACATAAACACATTCATTGTGTACGAACAATTGCATTGATCGAATTTTGAATTATATTAAAACTTATGAGCTATACCAACATCTACATCTATGTATTCATGACTTCCTGTTATATATATGTGTGTGTGTGTGTGTGTTCAGGATTTACCTACTTGTGTCTTTCCCCTCTATTTATGCTTGAACAACTAATAAAATAACTGATATCTAGATTTGGGATATCTACCAAAGAAACTTTGCCTATCACAGCGCATGCCTTCTGGCGTCAGACCAAATTATCAGACTGCAGCCATTCAACACGTAATCTATATCTAGGCAACCATTTTTGTCACGTGATCAGATAGAAGGTTACGCTGACAGAATAGGAGAAGAGCGCTCAACTAGCATGCGAACAGGTTCATACGTGAAGAACAGTAAAATAATATTGCAAACTGGTAGTAAGTTGAACAGAGAAACGAAGAATGTCAGACAATGGATTACGATTATTATTTTTTTTAAGCATTTCACCCCAAGCAAGGCGGGAGTGCCACTAGCACGCAAGGGTGTTACAGAGAGTGAAATTAAGAGTAAAGAGGAGTGTTTGAGGAAAGGATAAAGAGAAGGACGGGAATCAAGATCAAGGCATCAGAAGATGTCGATTGACATTACATTTAAATTTTTGAAGATTATAGTTATTGGGGAAGTAAATATGGGGAAGGGAAGTTCCACTGTTAGGATGTTCGAGAGAAGAAGCTGGTGGTGCAGAACAAGCGATTACATTTAACTGTTTCGATAGTAAAAAGGATGGGACCGAGATGCCAACCTAGTAGCAAGCTTAAATTCATGCAGTTGCAGTGAAAATAGCTCGACAGTGTAGTTATCATGAAAATATTTGTAGAAAAGACCGAGAGAAGCCACATAACGTCTGTGAGAAATTGACTGAAGCTGAGATATCAGGTCAGGACCTATCGCATTACATATACGTCTTTGAATTTTGCCGGGAAGCTCGATATGAACAGCGTGGGCACCAGACCATATATGGCAACAGTATTCAATGCAAGGACGAATGATAGATTTGAAGAATGGACTCAGATGAGAAAAACCTTCTGGTGCAACACAGAGAACCAACTTTCCTTGCGGTAGATGTAGCTATTGATTCAATGTAGTTGTCCCACTTCAGGTCAGTGGAAAATGTGAAACCATGAAGGTGCAGAGAGACGGTCTCAGGAAGTTGAGCATCAGCCATGCTGATAGGAGGCAGGGAGTTTTCTCTATGTTGGGTAACTGAGAGCAGTTTTGTTTGGGGGGAATTAAAGTTCACAAACCATTTCCTGATCCAGTCAATGACAGATTATAAGTCCTTTTTGAGAGCAACGGCGAAGTTAACTTTGTCAACTATTGAGACAGGACTAAATGGTAGTGTCATCTGCGTAGATGCCTACTTGATAACTGATGACATCGGAAAGATCGTTGATGAAGATCAGAAATAGTATATGACACAGGACAGGGCCTCGGGAAAAATGTATTTACGGTGATTGATTGGTTAAATTATAAGTAAGTGTATATTTTGGAAGCAAAACGACGTTCATCTTGACAAATGGTGTATATATTCCAATTTTGTAAGTAATTATGCCAGAATAAATATTGCTGATTCAAATTTTAACCAAGATTCCATATTCATTCACATACTTGTATATGACATAGATACTTGGGAATAGATATACATCAATTTCGTATCAGACAGTAAAAATGAAAAATAAACATTTAATGCATACACACATATATATATATATATATATATATATATATATATATATATATATATATATATATGTGTGTGTTTAAAATCTGCTATATTTATAGGGAAGATTGCTCAATATTGGAGATAGAGCATTTATAGATGGTGTGGGCATAGAAATCAACACTTCATGATGCCTAAGTTACATGCTTTAATGTAATCATCAGACCAAACAACTTGAAATGACTGAAACTCATGTTCCACCAAACGCACAATAAAACCTTCATTGAAGCACTTGATTAGAAATTCAGAAAGTAATTACTAATTTTCAATAAAAATAAAAACAAGGTGAAAATGTAATTAATTAAATTTTATTTATGAACTCCGCATAGTCATCTGCAGTAACAGTAATATAATGTAAAATGTTGCGGGAGTGTATGTTGTATGGTGTTTGAAAAGTCACCACTTTTTAGTGGGAATCACTTTTTATATGAATGTGTGTGTGTATGTTGTATAGTAAATATTTATAAACTCGTGGAAAATTTCCCCCGCAAATAATATTGGCGGACTCGTGTGAGACCGGGTAAAAACAATTGTGTGTGTGTGAGAGTCAACAGAGGACCAAGTAAATGAATGCGACCTAGCGTCCGTGTTTTCTGTCTACATTCGGCTACATCTGAAAAGAAGAGGAAAAGAGAAAGAGAATATGTTTGCCTTTTTAAAGATTTAAAAATAGCACCCTAACGAGCGTTTTTGGCAAAGTAAGGGGGAGTAATCCACCTGTAAAGAAAAATTCCAGCTAATTGACATGATTTTTCGATATATTAGCTTTATTGAACGAGGCTTTGCATTGTATTTTTCTGCAAACACTATTCGTGGTGATGATTTCTCTGAGAGCCAGTGATTCTAATGAACAATACTTGCCTTGATCCACCAGATGCAGAACAAGACGCCTTGCGAATAAAGTATTGATAAAAATAGCTAGGTATTGTGAAATAGCCACTGGATTTTTGTTTATAGTTCCAATAAAGTAGCTATTTTCCAAGCTATTGTAAGAATTGAATTCAGGCTTTCTCCTTATTTTTAGTGCGGTGGATTTGTGGCTAGACATAATATCCACTGAGTCAGTAGTAGATTGAACACACAATTCAAATAATGGTATGAAGAGATAGAGCTCACGACTCCACTGATTCTACTGGTTATGTATCGATTGAGCTCACAATTCTACTGTTTCAAATGGGTATGTAGAGATAGATCACAACTCCACTGTTTCTATTAGGTATATAGAGATAGAGCTCACAACTACTGGTTATGTAGAGATTGAGCTCACAATTCCACTGTTTACACTTGGTATGTAACGAATGAGCTCATAATTCCAATGTTTCAACATGTAGAGATAGAGATCACAACTCCACTGTTTCGATTGGGTATGTAGAGATAGAGATCACAACTCCACTGTTTCGATTGGGTATGTAGAGATAGAGATCACAACTCCACTGTTTCTACTGGTTATGTATCGATTGAGCTCACAATTCCACTGTTTCCACTGGGTATGAAGAGATAGAGCTCACAACTCCACTGTTCCTACTGGTTATGTATCGATTGAGCTCACAATTCCACTGTTTCCACTGGGTATGAAGAGATAGAGCTCACAACTCCACTGTTCCTACTGGTTATGTATCGATTGAGCTCACAATTCCACTGTTTCCACTGGGTATGAAGAGATAGAGCTCACAACTCCACTGTTCCTACTGGTTATGTATCGATTGAGCTCATAATTCCACTCTTTCCACTGGGTATGGAACAATTCAGCTCACAATTCCACAATTTCCACAGGGTATGCAGAAATTGAGCTCACAATTCCACAGGGTAGGCAGAGATAGAGCTCACAATTCCACACTTTCCACTGGGTATGCAGAAATTGAGCTCACAATTTCACTCTTTCCAATGGGTATGCAGAGATTGAGCTAACAATTCCTCTCTTTCCACTGGGTAGGCAGAGATTGAGCTCCCAATTCCACATTTTCCACTGGGTATGCAGAAATTGGGCTCAAAAATCCTCTCTTTCCACTGGGTATGCAGATATTGAGATCACAATTCCACTCTTTCCACTGGGTATGCAGAAATTGAGCTCTCAATTCCTCTCTTTCCACTGGGTATGCAGAAATTGAGCTGAATATTCCTCTCTTTCCACTGGGTATGCAGAGATTGAGCTCACCATTCCTCTATTTCCACTGGGTATGCAGAGATTGAGCTCACAATTCCACTCTTTCCACAGGGTATGCAGAAATTGAGCTCTCAATTCCTGTCTTTCCACTGGGTATGCAGAGATTGAGCTCTCAATTCCTCTCTTTCCACTGGGTATGCAGAGATTGAGCTTACAATTCCACTCTTTCCACTGGGTATGCAGAAATTGGGCTCAAAAATCCTCTCTTTCCACTGGGTATGCAGAGATTGAGCTCACAATTCCCCCCTTTCCACTGGGTATGCAGAAATTGAGATCACAATTCCACTCTTTCCACTGGGTATGCAGAAATTGAGCTCTCAATTCCTCTCTTTCCACTGGGTATGCAGAGATTGAGCTGAATATTCCTCTCTTTCCACTGGGTATGCAGAGATTGAGCTCACCATTCCTCTATTTCCACTGGGTATGCAGAGATTGAGCTCACAATTCCACTCATTCCACTGGGTATGCAGAAATTGAGCTCTCAATTCCTCTCTTTCCACTGGGTATGCAGAGATTGAGCTCTCAATTCCTCTCTTTCCACTGGGTATGCAGAAATTGGGCTCAAAAATCCTCTCTTTCCACTGGGTATGCAGAGATTGAGCTCACAATTCCCCACTTTCCACTGGGTATGCAGAAATTGAGATCACAATTCCACTCTTTCCACTGGGTATGCAGAAATTGAGCTCTCAATTCCTCTCTTTCCACTGGGTATGCAGAAATTGAGCTGAATATTCCTCTCTTTCCACTGGGTATGCAGAGATTGAGCTCACCATTCCTCTATTTCCACTGGGTATGGAGAGATTGAGCTCACAATTCCACTCTTTCCACTGGGTATGCAGAAATTGAGCTCTCAATTCCTCTCTTTCCACTGGGTATGCAGAAATTGAGCTCTCAATTCCTCTCTTTCCACTGGGTATGCAGAAATTGAGCTCTCAATTCCTCTCTTTCCACTGGGTATGCAGAAATTGAGCTGAATATTCCTCTCTTTCCACTGGGTATGCAGAGATTGAGCTCTCAATTCCTCTCTTTCCACTGGGTATGCAGAAATTGAGCTCCCAATTCCTCTCTTTCCACTGGGTATGCAGAAATTGAGCTCTCAATTCCTCTCTTTCCACTGGGTATGCAGAGATTGAGCTCTCAATTCCTCCCTTTCCACTGGGTATGCAGAGATTGAGCTCACAATTCCACTCTTTCCACTGGGTATGCAGAAATTGAGCTCTCAATTCCTCTCTTTCCACTGGGTATGCAGAGATTGAGCTCTCAATTCCTCTCTTTCCACTGGGTATGCAGAGATTGAGCTTACAATTCCACTCTTTCCACTGGGTATGCAGAAATTGGGCTCAAAAATCCTCTCTTTCCACTGGATATGCAGAGATTGAGCTCACAATTCCCCCCTTTCCACTGGGTATGCAGAAATTGAGATCACAATTCCACTCTTTCCACTGGGTATGCAGAAATTGGGCTCAAAAATCCTCTCTTTCCACTGGGTATGCAGAGATTGAGCTCACAATTCCCCCCTTTCCACTGGGTATGCAGAAATTGAGCTCTCAATTCCTCTCTTTCCACTGGGTATGCAGAAATTGAGCTGAATATTCCTCTCTTTCCACAGGGTATGCAGAGATTGAGCTCACAATTCCACTCTTTCCACTGGGTATGCAGAAATTGAGCTCACAATTCAACACTTTCCACTGGGTATGCAGAGATTGAGCTCACAATTCTGATCTTTCCACTGGGTATGCAGAAATTGAGCTCACAATTCCACTCTAACCAATGGGTATTCGGAGATTGAGCTCACAATTCCTCTCTTTCGATTGGGTATGCAGAGATTGAGCTCACAATTCCTCACTTCCCGCTGAGTATGCAGAGATTCTGCTCATAATTCCACTCTTTCCACTGGGTATGCAGAAATTGAGCTCATAATTTCACTCTATCGGCTGGGTATGCAGAAATTGAGCTCACAATTCAATTCTATCCAATGGGTATTCGGAGATTGAGCTAACAATTCCACTCTTTCCACTGGGTATGCAGAGATTGAGCTAACAATTTCTTTTTTTTTCCATTAGGTATGCATAAATTGAGCCCACAATTTCACTCTTTCGACTGGGTATGCAGAAATTGCTCACAATTCCTCTCTTTCCACTGGGTATGCAGAGATTGAGCTGAATTTCCCTCTCTTTCCACTGGGTATGCAGAGATTGAGCTCACAATTCCTCTTTTCCACTATGTATACATAAATTGTGCTCACAATTTCACTCTTTCGAATGGGAATGCAGAGATTGAGCTCACAATTCCTCTCTTTCTACTGGGTATGCAGAGATTGAGCTCACAATTCCTCTCTTTCTACTGGGTATGCAGAGATTGAAGTCACAATTCCATTCTTTCCACTGGGTATGCCGAGATTGAGCTCACAATTCCTCTCTTTCCACTGGACATGCAGAAATCGGGCTCGAAATTCCTCACTTTCCACTGGGTATGCAGAAATTGAGCGCACAATTCCTCTCTTTCCACTGGGTATGCAGAGATTGAGCTCTCAATTCCTCTCTTTCCACTGGGTATGCAGAAATTGAGCTGAATATTCCTCTCTTTCCACTGGGTATGCAGAGATTGAGCTCTCAATTCCTCTTTTTCCACTGGGTATGCAGAGATTGAGCTTACAATTCCACTCTTTCCACTGGGTATGCAGAAATTGAGCTCACAATTCAACACTTTCCACTGGGTATGCAGAGATTGAGCTCACAATTCTGATCTTTCCACTGGGTATGCAGAAATTGAGCTCACAATTCCACTCTAACCAATGGGTATTCGGAGATTGAGCTCACAATTCCTCTCTTTCGATTGGGTATGCAGAGATTGAGCTCACAATTCCTCACTTCCCGCTGAGTATGCAGAAATTGAGCTCATAATTTCACTCTTTCCGCTGGGTATGCAGAAATTGAGCTCATAATTTCACTCTATCGGCTGGGTATGCAGAAATTGAGCTCACAATTCCATTCTATCCAATGGGTATTCGGAGATTGAGCTAACAATTCCACTCTTTCCACTGGGTATGCAGAGATTGAGCTAACAATTTCTTTTTTTTCCATTAGGTATGCATAAATTGAGCCCACAATTTCACTCTTTCGACTGGGTATGCAGAAATTGCTCACAATTCCTCTCTTTCCACTGGGTATGCAGAGATTGAGCTGAATTTCCCTCTCTTTCCACTGGGTATGCAGAGATTGAGCTCACAATTCCTCTTTTTCCACTATGTATACATAAATTGTGCTCACAATTTCACTCTTTCGAATGGGAATGCAGAGATTGAGCTCACAATTCCTCTCTTTCTACTGGGTATGCAGAGATTGAGCTCACAATTCATCTCTTTCTACTGGGTATGCAGAGATTGAGCTCACAATTCCATTCTTTCCACTGGGTATGCCGAGATTGAGCTCACAATTCCTCTCTTTCCACTGGACATGCAGAAATCGGGCTCGAAATTCCTCACTTTCCACTGGGTATGCAGAAATTGAGCGCACAATTCCTCTCTTTCCACTGAGTATGCAGAAATCGGGCTCAAAATTCCACCCTTTCAACTGGATAAGCAGAGATTGAGTTCACAATTCCTCTTTTTCCACTAGGTATGCAGAAATTGAGTTCACAATTCCACTCTTTCGACTGGGTAGGAAGAAATTGAGCTCACCATTTTACTGTTTCCACTGGGTATGCAGAGATTGAGCTCACAATTCCTCTCTTTCCACTTGGTATGCAGAGATTGAGCTCACAATTCCTCTCTTTCCACTTGGTATGCAGAGATTTAGCTCAAAATTACTCTCTTTCCACTGGGTATGTAGAAATTGAGCTCACAAAACAACTCTTTCTATTGGGCATGTAACGATTGAGCTCATAATTCCACTCTTTCCACTGGGTATGGAACAATTCAGCTCACAATTCCACAATTTCCACAGGGTGTGCAGAAATTGAGCTCACAATTCCACTGGGTAGGCCGAGATAGAGCTCACAATTCCACTCTTTCCACTGGGTATGTAGAAATTGAGATCACAATTTCACTCTTTCCACTGGGTATGCAGAGATTGAGCTAACAATTCCTCTCTATCCAATGGGTATGCAGAAATTCGGCTCAAAATTCCTCTTATTCCACTGGGTATGCAGAGGTTGAGCTCACAATTCCTCTTTTTCCACGAGGTATGCAGAGGTAGAGCTCAAAATTCCACTCTATCCAATGGGTATTCGGAGATTGAGCTCCCAATTCCACACTTTCCACTGGGTATGCAGAGATTGAGCTCACAATTCCTCTCATTCCACTGGGTATGCAGAAATTGTGCTCAAAATTCCTCTCTTTCCACTGGGTATGCAGAGATTAAGCTCACAATTCCACTCTTTCCACTGGGTATGCAGAGATTGAGCTCAAAATTCCACTCTTTCCACTGAGTATGCAGATATTGAGCTCACAATTCCTCACTGCCCGCTGGGTATGCAGAGATTGTGCTCATAATTCCACTCTTTCCACTGGGTATGCAGAGATTGAGCTCAAAATTACTCTCTTTCCACTGGGTGTGTAGAAATTGAGCTCACAATTCAACTCTTTCTACTGGGTATGCAGAGATTTTGCTGAATATTCCTCTCTTTCCACTGGGTATGCAGAGATTGAGCTAACAATTCTTCTCTTACCACTGGGTATGCAGAGATTGAGCCCACAATTCCTCTTTTTTGCCACTAGGTATGCAGAAAGTGTGCTCACAATTTCACTCTTTCGACTGGGTACGCAGAAATTGAGCTCACAATTCCACTCTTTCTACTGAGCATGTGGAGATTGAGCTGAATATTCCTCTCTTTCCACTGGGCATCCTGAGATTGAGCTGAATATTTCTCTCTTTCCACTGGGTATGCAGAGATTGAGCTCACAATTCCTCTTTTTCCACTAGGTATGCATAAATTGAGCTCACATATCCTCTCTTTCCGCTGGGTATGCAGAGATTGAGCTCACAATTCTGCTCTTTCCACTGGGTATGCAGAGATTGAGCTGAATATTTCTCTCATTCCACCGGACATGCAGAGATTGAGTTTACAATTCCTCTCTTTCCACTTGGCATGCAGAAATTGAGCTCACAATTCCTCTCTTTCCACTTGGCATGCAGAGATTGAACTCACAATTCCTCTTTTTCCACTGGGTATGCAGAGATTGAACTCACAATTCCTCTCTTTCCACTGGGTATGCAGAGATTGAACTCACAATTCCTCTCTTTCCACTGGGTATGCAGAGATGGGACTCACAATTCCTCTCTTTCCACTGGGTATGCAGAGATTGAACTCACAATTCCTCTCTTTCCACTGGGTATGCAGAGATTGAACTCACAATTCCTCTCTTTCCACTGGGTATGCAGAGAATGAACTCACAATTCCTCTCTTTCCACTGGGTATGCAGAGAATGAACTCACAATTCCTCTCTTTCCACTGGGTATGCAGAAATTGAACTCACAATTCCTCTCTTTCCACGGCATGCAGAGATTGAATTCACAATTCCTCTCTTTCCACTGGGTATGCAGAGATTGAACTCACAATTCCTCTCTTTCCACTGGGCATGCAGAGATTGAACTCACAATTTCTCTCTTTCCACTGGGTATGCAGAGATTGAGCTTACAATTCCACTCTTTCCACTGGGTATGCAGAAATTGAGCTCACAATTCCTCTCTTTCCACTGGGTATGCAGAAATTGAACTCACAATTCCTCTCTTTCCACGGCATGCAGAGATTGAATTCACAATTCCTCTCTTTCCACTGGGTATGCAGAGATTGAACTCACAATTCCTCTCTTTCCACTGGGTATGCAGAGATTGAACTCACAATTCCTCTCTTTCCACTGGGTATGCAGAGAATGAACTCACAATTCCTCTCTTTCCACTGGGTATGCAGAGAATGAACTCACAATTCCTCTCTTTCCACTGGGTATGCAGAGATTGAACTCACAATTCCTCTCTTTCCACTGGGTATGCAGAAATTGAGCTCACAATTCCACTCTAACCAATGGGTATTCGGTGACTGAGCTCACGATTCCTCTCTTTCGATTGGGTATGCAGAGATTGAGCTCACAATTCCTCACTTCCCGCTGAGTATGCAGAGATTGTGCTCATAATTCCACTCTTTGCACTGGGTATGCAGAAATTGAGCTCATAATTTCACTCTATCGACTGGGTATGCAGAAATTGAGCTCACAATTCCATTCTATCCAATGGGTATTCGGAGATTGAGCTCACGATTCCTCTCTTTCCACTGGGTATGCAGAGATTGAGCTCACAATTCCACTCTTTCCACTGGGTATGCAGAGATTGAGCTAACAATTCCTTTTTTTCCACTAGGTATGCATAAATTGAGCCCACAATTTCACTCTTTCGACTGGGTATGCAGAAATTGAGCTCACAATTCCTCTCTTTCCACTGGGTATGCAGAGATTGAGCTGAATATCCCTCTCTTTCCACTGGGTATGCAGAGATTGAGCTCACAATTCCTCTTTTTCCATTATGTATACATAAATTGTGCTCACAATTTCACTCTTTCGAATGGGTATGCTGAGATTGAGCTCACAATTCCTCTCTTTCTACTGGGTATGCAGAGATTGAGGTCACAAGTCCATTCTTTCCACTGGGTATGCCGAGATTGAGCTCACAATTCCTCTCTTTCCACTGGACATGCAGAAATTGGGCTTGAAATTCCTCACTTTCCATTAGGTATGCAGAAATTGAGCGCACAATTCCTCTCTTTCCACTGAGTATGCAGCAATTGGGCTCAAAATTCCACCCTTTCAACTGGATAAGCAGAGATTGAGTTCACAATAACTCTTTTTCCACTAGGTATGCAGAAATTGAGTTCACATTTCGACTCATTCGACTGGGTATGCAGAAATTGAGCTCACCATTTTACTCTTTCCACTGGGTATGCAGAGATTGAGCTCACAATTCCTCTCTTTCCACTTGGTATGCAGAGATTCAGCTCAAAATTACTCTCTTTCCACTGGGTATGTAGAAATTGAGCTCACAAAACAACTCTTTCTACTGGGCATGTAACGATTGAGCTCATAATTCCATTCTTTCCACTGGGTATGGAACAATTCAGCTCACAATTCCACAATTTCCACAGGGTGTGCAGAAATTGAGCTCACAATTCCACTGGGTAGGCCGAGATAGAGCTCAAAATTCCACTCTATCCAATGGGTATTCGGAGATTGAGCTCCCAATTCCACACATTCCACTGGGTATGCAGAGATTGAGCTCCAAATTTCACACTTTCCACTGGGTATGCAGAGATTGAGCTCCCAATTCCACACTTTCCGCTGGGTATGCAGAGATTGAGCTCACAATTCCTCTCATTCCACTGGGTATGCAGAAATTGTGCTCAAAATTCCTCTCTTTCCACTGGGTATGCAGAAATTGTGCTCAAAATTCCTCTCTTTCCACTGGGTATGCAGAAATTGGGCTCAAAATTCATCTCTTTCCACTGGGTATGCAGAAATTGAGATCACAATTCCACTCTATACAATGGGTAATCGGAGATTGAGCTCACGATTCCTCTCATTCCACTGGGTATGCAGAAATTGTGCTCAAAATTCCTCTCTTTCCACTGGGTATGCAGAGATTGAGCTCACAATTCCACTCTTTCCACTGAGTATGCAGAGATTGAGCTCACAATTCCTCACTTCCCGCTGGGTATGCAGAGATTGTGCTCATAATTCCACTCTTTCCACTGGGTATGCAGAGATTGAGCTCAAAATTACTCTCTTTCCACTGGGTATGTAGAAATTGAGCTCACAATTCAACACTTTCCACTGGGTATGCAGAGATTGAGCTCACAATTCCACTCTTTCCACTGGGTATGCAGAGATTGAGCTCACAATTCCACTCTTTCCACTGAGTATGCAGAGATTGAGCTCACAATTCCTCACTTCCCGCTGGGTATGCAGAGATTGTGCTCATAATTCCACTCTTTCCACTGGGTATGCAGAGATTGAGCTCAAAATTACTCTCTTTCCACTGGGTATGTAGAAATTGAGCTCACAATTCAACACTTTCCACTGGGTATGCAGAGATTGAGCTCACAATTCCACTCTTTCCACTGGGTATGCAGAGATTGAGCTCACAATTCCACTCTTTCTACTGAGTATGCAGAGATTGAGCTCACAATTCCTCACTGCCCGCTGGGTATGCAGAGATTGTGCTCATAATTCCACTCTTTCCACTGGGTATGCAGAGATTGAGCTCAAAATTACTCTCTTTCCACTGGGTATGTAGAAATTGAGCTCACAATTCAACACTTTCCACTGGGTATGCAGAGATTGAGCTGAATATTTCTCTCTTTCCACTGGGTATGCAGAGATTGAGCTCACAATTCTGCTCTTTCAACTGGGTATGCAGAGATTGCGCTCACAATTCTGCTCTTTCCACTGGGTATGCAGAAATTGAGCTCACAATTCCACTCTATCCAATGGGTATTCGGAGATTGAACTCACAATTCCACTCTTTCCGCTGGGTATGCAGTGATTGAGCTGAATATTTCTCTCTTTCCACTGGGCATGCAGAGATTGAGCTTACAATTCCTCTCTTTCCACTTGGCATGCAGAAATTGAGCTCACAATTCCTCCCTTTCCACTAGGTATGCAGAAATTGAGTTCACAATTCCACTCTTTCGACTGGGTATGCAGAGATTGAGCTCACAATTCCTCTCTTTCCACTTGGCATGCAGAGATTCAGCTCAAAATTACTCTCTTTCCACTGGGTATGTAAAAATTGAGCTCACAATTCAACTCTTTCTACTGGGTATGCAGAGATTGTGCTGAATATTCCTCTCTTTCCACTGGGTATGCAGAGATTGAGCTCACAATTCCTCTTTTTTGCCACTAGGTATGCAGAAAGTGTGCTCGCAATTTCACTCTTTCGACTGGGTATGCAGAAATTGAGCTCACAATTCCACTCTTTCTACTGAGCATGTAGAGATTGAGCTGAATATTTCTCTCTTTCCACTGGGTATGCAGAGATTGAGCTCACAATTCTTATCTTTCCACTTGGCATGCAGAAATTGAGCTCACAATTCCTCCTTTTCCACTAGGTATGCAGAAATTGAGTTCACAATTCCACTCTTTCGACTGGGTATGCAGAAATTGAGCTCACCATTTTAGTTTTCCACTGGGTATGCAGAGATTGAGCTCACACTTTCCCACTGGGTATGCAGAGATTGAACACTGGGTATGAGAAATTGAACTCACAATTCCTCACTTTCCACTTGGCATGCAGAGATTGAACTCACAATTATGCAGAAATTGAACTCAATTCCTCTTTCCACTTGGCATGCAGAGATTGAACTCACAATTCCTCCCTTTCCACTAGGTATGCAGAAATTGAGTTCACAATTCCACTCTTTCGACTGGGTATGCAGAAATTGAGCTCACCATTTTACTCTTTCCACTGCGTATGCAGAGATTGAGCTCACAATTCCTCTCTTTCCACTGGGTATGCAGAGATTGAACTCACAATTCCTCTCTTTCCACTGGGTATGCAGAGATTGAACTCACAATTCCTCTCTTTCCACTGGGTATGCAGAAATTGAACTCACAATTCCTCACTTTCCACTTGGCATGCAGAGATTGAACTCACAATTCCTCTCTTTCCACTGGGTATGCAGAAATTGAACTCACAATTCCTCTCTTTCCACTTGGCATGCAGAGATTGAACTCACAATTCCTCCCTTTCCACTAGGTATGCAGAAATTGAGTTCACAATTCCACTCTTTCGACTGGGTATGCAGAAATTGAGCTCACCATTTTACTCTTTCCACTGGGTATGCAGAGATTGAGCTCACAATTCCTCTCTTTCCACTGGGTATGCAGAGATTGAGCTCACAATTCCTCTCTTTCCACTGGGTATGCAGAGATTGAACTCACAATTCCTCTCTTTCCACTGGGTATGCAGAAATTGAACTCACAATTCCTCTCTTTCCACTTGGCATGCAGAGATTGAACTCACAATTCCTCCCTTTCCACTGGGTATGCAGAAATTGAACTCACAATTCCTCTCTTTCCACTTGGCATGCAGAAATTGAACTCACAATTTTACTCCCTTTCCACTAGGTATGCAGAAATTGAGTTCATTCAGACTGGGTATGCAGAAATTGAGCTCACCATTTTACTCTTTCCACTGGGTATGCAGAGATTGAGCTCACAATTCCTCTCTTTCCACTGGGTATGCAGAGATTGAACTCACAATTCCTCTCTTTCCACTGGGTATGCAGAGATTGAACTCACAATTCCTCTCTTTCCACTGGGTATGCAGAGATTGAACTCACAATTCCTCTCTTTCCACTGGGTATGCAGAAATTGAACTCACAATTCCTCACTTTCCACTTGGCATGCAGAAATTGAACTCACAATTCCTCACTTTCCACTTGGCATGCAGAGATTGAACTCACAATTCCTCTCTTTCCACTGGGTATGCAGAAATTGAACTCACAATTCCTCACTTTCCACTTGGCATGCAGAGATTGAACTCACAATTCCTCTCTTTCCACTTGGCATGCAGAGATTGAACTCACAATTCCTCTCTTTCCACTGGGTATGCAGAGATTGAGCTTACAATTCCACTCTTTCCACTGGGTATGCAGAAATTGAGCTCACAATTCCACACTTTCCACTGGGTATGCAGAAATTGAGCTCACAATTCCACACTTTCCACTGCGTATGTAGAGATTTTACTCACAACTCTATTGTTTCCACTGGGTATGTAAAGACAGATCACACAATTCCACTTTTTCCACTGTGTATGTAATGATAGAGCTCACAACTCTACTGTTACCGCTGGGAATTTCCATTTTCGCACACAATTCCAATGTTTTTACTGACACTGCTGAGATTGAGTTCTCAATTTCACTGTTTGTGCTGGTTATTTAGATGTTGCGCTTACAATTCCACTCTTTCCCGTGGGTATGTAGAGATTGAGCTGACAATTCCACTCTTTCCAGTGGGTATGTAGAGATTGAGCTGACAATTCCACTGCTTCTACTGGGTATGTAGAGCTCAAAATTACTATATAAATTAATTATATATATAGAACAAAACAGAATATTCTTATATATATTGGACGAGTTCAATCTACCCTGGCAGATTAAATAAAATGTTTAGTCCGAAATCCTTGGACTTTATTTGGATTGACAAATACCTCATTAAGGCTTCAAGTTACATACAACATCCGAAACGTTAGGATAAAAACAAAAAATCAAAAAGATGCTGTTTAGTTCAACTGTATTGCAATTCTTCTGTTCCAATGATATGATGCATTTTTAATATTTTTAATGGCTAGACGATCCTGTCTCGCCACAGATTACTTTTTTTTTTATTATCCGTGAATTGCTATGCTTTCTATGAAGAGTCGGTGGAATGGTTTTCCGTTGCCTTCTCTATGGTTTTGAATGGAGTTTTAGTTCTCTTAGCTGACTATCCAACCCCAATATTTAACCCATAACTTTGGCTCGTCGATTCAACTTTCCGCGTAGATACCTGTTTACACCACTTATTAAAATTTATATCTTTTATAGTTTTTATTTTGTCTGTATGTCTATCTGTCCGGGGAATTAAAATTTATATCAATAAAATAAAATCTAACATTTTGTTAGGCTGGCGGTATGGTATTTAGTAATTAACTAAATAAAATTCCCTGTAATCTTGAGAGAAATGTAAGTGTCAGCAAAATAAGAGCCACAAGCACATGACAAAATAGCAAAGGCTGTGAAAAACCAGAGGCTATGGATTGCTAAAAGTTAGCGGGAGAGATTTCAATGAGAAAGCTTGACTATAGCAGCAACAAAGGAAACCAATTTACTCATGTTCAGTAATATTGGAAAAACTTATAGTGACTATTTTCATTTGATAAATAAAGAGGACTTTAAAATTTGCAAACTTGTAAACCAACGTGAAGACGATCCTGCATCAGACTCAAATAGACTGGGTCTACAAAGTTGCAAACGAAGTGCTTTACTAAATAACAAAAGTTATATTACTTGAACAGCAGCAACAACAAAACTGGGTCAGACATGTAACACGATGAGATAATCTAATCAAGGTGTTAATTCTTTAGATTACCAAAAACGAAAATTTTGATAGGAAAACCTCAGTTTTAGAGTTATAGTATTCATTAGACTTGAGAAGTCTAATTTGCTGAAAAATTATTTTAATAAAATGTTTTATGAATTTCAATTAACAGTAACACTAACTCTTCAGTCAATGAATGCTGAATGTTTCTTATATGCAAATGGCTAATTTTACCTTTACCATTGTTCTGCTACTTGTAAAATTCATATTTTACCAAATTATAGTTTAAATGACCCTATCACCTTTCTACTAACAAGCAATTTGCATGTCAATTATTTAGGTTTATGTGACTTCTCCTATTTTTTCCTAAAACTCAAAAGACATACTGCAGGATCCGGTTTAATATGTACATATATATTCCGAAAAGTTATCAAAATTTTCTCCGGCTTGTTTGCGTGAATATCTGCTGTTGAGTTTCAGTTGTTAATCACATTTGGTGATATTCTCTCAAAGGATAAACGAAATGAAGATATGCATTGCTCATGTGGGAGGGCCAATAATTAATCGCCCATCCGTTGTTGTTGTTTCCATACATCACGCATACTCTCTAATAGTATCAGTTTCTCATGTTTTATGCATCAGTTTATGTTTTCATTAAACTAATCAATCTATGCTTTTTAAGTTTATATTTTCCTACTGCTGCATTCAAATTGCTTTATATTTTGTCACAATTTGTTTCTTTCTATTTTTGCCTTTTGTTTATCTTTTGGGTTTTTCTTTTCTTTTTTTTCTTTAAATTACTTTCTTTTTTATACTGCTGAGTCAACTAAATCTTATTGTATCCTGAATAAGTTAATTTTTATTATCAGACAATATGAAGATTCAAATATGCCGAACAAAGACCTTTTTATAAAATATATTGAATCTTCTTTTAAAAATATTTTTCTATTTAAATATCTGCCTCAAGTTATTTTTATTTTCGGATTATTTTTTTTTAATGTGGCCGTGCGTGTGCTAATTACCTATAATCATATTTCATTTAGAAATCTCTCCTTAATAAAATGCTAAAACTAATTAAAGCAACATTTTCCGACACATTGGATATATTGGATATGTAACGCTAAGCATTATTTCCTATGTTTTTTATATAGATTTTTATATTAATTGCATATGGCTAGTGTTGTGGAGTAAATATGACACCCCAGTAACAAATGAACTAAACAAGACGCCTTAAATAAAGAACTCAAAGTGTGTTACTAAAAGACCGTGGGAGTCAAGTAGTCTGCTGTCTGGATCGCGATTGTCATGGTCTCTGTCTTCGGGCAGAGTACGATTCAGACACGAATCTGTCTACGGACGGTGACTCGGCTGGGAAAAATAGACAATGCCAAGTACCCGATCCCGAGATTGCGGGGATATTTTGGCCTTTTGCTCAAATGTACGCGTTCGTGTTCCCCACGCTAAACTC